CCAACCGTTGACGAGCGTTCCTTAGGCTCGCCTTGGACCGAGCCAAGTCGAACGGAGTCAGCGGAGTGGAGCTTCGCGTTGCCCGCGTCGCGCGCCTTCCGTCGCGTCGGCCTGTTGTCAAAATCAGCTGCCATTGCTGACTTCGGTGCTCCTTCTCTTTTCTCTATTTTCATTCGCCATGAAAGTCGTCGCATCGGCGATCTCGCTGTACCGTCGCGTACGCTCTTGATTCCCCTGAACGCTCTTCTTTTACGATTCACGCTTCTTCGTCTCGTCTTTTCGTTATCGTGACCTCGGGGAAAAAAGTGCCAATTAAGCATTGCGGAAATTTTCTTTATGTACGATCGATTTATTGTCAAGGTACATTGTTTTGCCTGGATTTGCAGCCGTTGAATCTTTTATCCTTTGGGAGAATTCAGTTTCGTGAGATAAACGCGAGAACGTGGTGTATTATATATGTAAAGCTTAACAAAGAGTCTAGACTGGCAAAGAATTTATTGAATGAATATTAATATATGTTTAGAAGCATATTTATTTATATTCATATAATTCACTCAGTTTTTATTTATATATAATTCACATGTATAATGTTTGAGAATATGTTGCAGGCTCGGAAGGCTGGAACCTCGATTTACATCAGCAAAGCAAAAAAAAGAAAACGTCAAGACAGAACATTTATAAAAGTTAGTGTGAGAAGTAAGTGGATGGTGAATTTGTTAAGGACAATATAGAGAGTAAGGGTAAAAGATAAGTACGAAAGTGGTAAATGCAGTGGCTGAAGAAGCGATGGACCCATCGTTGTTTGTCGCATACACTCCTCAAACAAACGGAGTTCCATCGGAGTCCAAGCTTGCTACCTACATGGTAACTTTTTTTTTGCATTAATGGAAATAAAATGATCTCGGTATCGGATAATTATTTTATATAAATCGTCTTATACAGAATCACCAAAGTCCTGGCATAGGCTTGAGCACAAACTCAATGACCAAGCATTTGTCCAACCTTTCTCTGGACTCACAAAAGAAGGTAACTGCCAGTCCCGAATTTGTGCCAGGAAGAGGCCTTACGGGCAGCAATAGTAGTTCGCCGAATCTCTTTAACAACTCCTACACCCATTCACAAGAAAATGTAGGTGGCACAACATACTTCTATTTTGGGAATACTGGCAGTGACGCTGTCGGATCTGAGGATGGCACTGAGGCCGTAAGTCCAAGACTCGACTTGCTGTACTGCCTGTTTTACCTGCGTAACTGACAAGATATAACGAGGAGATTTGTTTTTTTTTATCTTTAATATTAGATTGGACCCGTAGCAACGGGACAGATTGGTTACGTCTATCCGGGTACACCTTCACATCTACAACCTGTGAAAACGGCAAAACCACCCTCTTCTAATAATTCCTCTGCTCCCTCCACACCTCCTCCTCAGGCCGCTCCCAGCTTCTTTGTCAGTGAAAGCTTGCGAATGGACATCCTGCAAAAGAACGCATTGACATTGGCACAGCCCGATATCGTACGATTTCCTGACTTACCTAATGAGGTTGACAATTATCACGAACTATGTCCTCTGGAGCCAATTCATAAACCCGCTTCGACGGTTCTTGGGTATCAAACTTCCACATACAAGGCCACCAGTATCAAGACTGGCACGCGATACTGTTTACGTCGTATTCACGGTGAGTTTAAACTTCAACTCGAGGATCCTACTAATAAATATCACAGAATATTATCAGCTTGGCACTTTATATTTTGCTCTTGGTGCTTGTAGATTTCCGACTCGCCAACACCAAATGTATGGTACTGGTTGACATGTGGAAACGATTGTCACACACAAATCTAGTTCAGCTGAGAGAAGTTTTTACCACTAAGGCATTCGGTGATCATTGTCCGTATTTTAGATGCACTTTCATTTATTTTTGTACATCATCTATACGTACCGCACTCTTGCCGAATTCATTTTTTTTCCAGCCATGGTTTTTGTATACGATTATCACCCTGCCTCGGAGACATTACTGAATAAACATTTTGCCTCAACTGAGCTTAACGGTTACACCGACCCGTTCTCGTCGGATCCCAATGCACCACGGCCTTATAGTCATACCAAGAACACTATTCTAAGACAGCAACATAGTAGCATGCTACCGGAAAGTGTTATTTGGAGCTACATCATTCAACTCACTGCCGCATTTCGTGTTATTCATGCCGCTGGTTAGTATACTATTTCGTTGTCCTCATTTTATTGTCTGTCTTAAAGAACCATAAATATTTTATAACATGTAACTCCGTATCCATAAATCTTGAAATTTTCGTTTTATTTAATTCCTCTTGTTAATTTAATTCTATTTTAACTTGACCTACGTTTTACAGGTTTGGCATACAGATGCTTAGATCCTACCAAGGTATTACTTACATCACGAACACGACTTCGTTTGAGTTGTGTCGCCATTCCAGACGTGGTTACTCTAGATGGAAACACTGCAAATCCGCTTACCCTCATCCCACATTATCAGCAAGAAGATTTAGTAGCACTTGGCAAGCTGGTCTTAGCGCTGGCATGTCGAAGTCTTATCGCCGTCCATCGCGACAATATGTCAGCCTCCATCGAGCTGATTACACGTTCCTACTCCACCGACCTTCGAAATCTTATTCTGTAAGTTTGTAACCCTGACAATTGATAATCTTAATTACTTGATTTAAAAATTATTAAGTGTAAAGCTTTATTAATCCACGGAAAGAATCTTCAATATATATCTCAAATTTATTATAGTTAGTATGAGTTTTATTTATGTAAAAATGTTAATGTGTCGATGGACAGAGCAGAAGAAAATTATCATTTCTAATTTCATTGTAATCCAATCTACAGTGACAAATTAGAAATATTTTAAATATAATATGACATATTTTTAGGTACTTGCTGTCGAATCAATCCCGTAAGAGTGTCACGGATCTCATGCCAATGATTGGTGCAAGATTTTATACACAGTTGGATGCCGCCCAGTTACGATTGGATGTTCTGGAGAACGAACTTGCCAAGGAACTAGAAAACGGACGATTATTTAAATTGCTGGTCAAGTTAGCAACCATCAACGAAAGGCCGGAGCTTAATATGGAACCTACGTGGGCAGAGACGGGCGATCGTTATATGCTCAAATTGTTTAGGGACTATGTATTTCATCAAGTCACAGCTGATGGAAGACCTTGGTTGGATCTTGCGCATGTTGTATCCTGCTTGAATAAACTTGATTCGGGTTCGCAGGACAAGGTAATGATTCTTAACACTTTCGGAATGTGTGTACATAAAGTAATCTGAAAATGTACCATTACAGATATGCCTCATGTCTCGAGATGAGCAGAGTGTTTTAGTAGTAAGTTATGCAGAGCTACGGCAATGTCTGGAAACGTCATTTGGTGAACTGGTACAATCTACAAAAGATGCTGTTTAAGGATGTGTCCTCAATAGCGCATACTCCGAACCATAAATGTGATATCATCACTTAGCGGTACTATCATTTTACTCTTTATCGCAACGTTGGAGAGTGAGAACTGTCGAATTGTGTTTGGTGATATAAGAAATAACGCGCAACTCAGTTTTGTATACATAATTTTGACCGTCAAATTAATTAGGTACGAACGCATTACAAATGCGTTGCATTTAGGATGTAAGATGTTAAATTTTCGGGTCTTTAAATCTTAAGGATTAATAGGGTCCTTAAATCTTTTTGGGTTTTTGGATTTTCCAGTTTGGATCTTAGGATCTTTAGACATAGGAATTCTTATTTATAATGATATTTTTGATTTAATCTCGGATTTCAAAGTGTCAAATTTTGTAATCCTTGAATTCAGCTTAACCTTTAAATTCTTATGTCAAACGATCCTTGGATCTTTGGAGTTTTGATCTCTTGGAAGTGGCGAAGCGTGAGTCTTGAAGGGTATCATGTGATTTCGCGAATCAGCGAGGATTTGGATTCGCTATAAAGCCCATTACGGTACTATACAAAATTGTACACAACTTAACAATGCAGTAAACTCATAAGGAATCTTAAGACAACACCTAAACACGCTCGGTGTCTAGGATAGAGATCTTAGTTTTTAGGATACAGCATTAATGGTAAGCATTAATTTTGAAATAAATGTTTATTTTTGAAAGCAATCCTAACTAACGTTGTCATTATTTCTTCCTTATCACCAAAATAATTTTAGAATCCCGTCATTCCTTTTTAATCGCAATGTTTTTCTCACAATTTCAGGTTTTTTATTTCAGTTAGATTAGAGATTACACGCGGAGAAAGTAGGCTTGATGCCCATTTATATTCTTCAACGTCAGTGTGCTGAAGTTTTTAATTTTTTCAACGACGAAGGCTCAGTAATTAGACTCTTAATTTCATTTTGAAACATCCTGTATGATTCTCTCCACATAGTTCTATTTCTATTTATCCAGTCGCCTTTCTCTTTTCTAGGAGGGATGATCACCATGGTGACGGTGATGAAGAAGGGGAAAGATTGGCGGCTGGAGCGGGGAGGATATACATGGCGCCTGAGGGATGCCGGACTCCGGACTGACTCGGGGAGGGGGATGACTCCGGTCGGCGGCGATAGCGGCAGTACCAGTGACGGCAGCAACACGTAGTAGTAGCAGTCAACGGTGTCCAGGCATCGCAACGCTTAGGAGGCATACAGAACATCGAGATCCGTTCTTCATCCGACGCGCTGATTACGGTGCATCACGCAGCCGCGTTACGGAGCGGATCTCCTATCCGCAGCATCCTCCTCGTTGAGCGTCGCCGCGGCTACGTAGGCGGATAATTATCAACCGGAAATACGTTAGGAAGTCAATCAAGCTTGATCCTCTGCTTGGCATCCCTGTGGCAGGTGAGTTTTTTGCGTGAGAGGAAGAGAAAGAAAAAAGAGAGCGAGAGAGAAAGAGTGAGAGGAGGGAGAGAAAGAGAGAGAGAGAAAGAAAGAGAGAATGAGAGAGAATGAGAGAGAACGAAACGCTGCTGCCGCCGCCGCCGCCGCCGCCCGGCGTTGCTGATCGATTTTCCGCGAACGAGTGGAGCGGAGCGGAGACCCGCCCCTGATTCTCGTCGCTCTCCTCCGACGGAACGGCGGAGATCCGAGAATTTTTTGCGCTTTGTCGCTGGTCCAGCTCCTGCAGCGCGCGCGGCTGATACGGGTCGAGAAGGACCGAGGGACCAGAAATTAAAAGCGGCTTTTCCTACTGTACGCGCGTGTCTGCCATACAACGACGATCGATGCTCTTTCAGTATCCGCTCGCGCCCCTCATACACTATCGCTCTTGCTCCGTATCTTGAGTCGAGCTTCTTTATCTTCATGTATCTTATTTTTCATGACCCAATTTTTAGGGCCCAATTTAAGGTCAGAAATCTTATCTGACTTTTCGTGATTTTTTTCTGGACATGGTCTTGGAAGTTTATATGGTTTTCGAATGACTATAAAAGTATTTTAGAGTATTACAAAGATATCTGAAATGGTCAAGAGTCTTTTATAAACAGATTTCGGAAACAGAATGATAAGAAGCCGGATTTTAAAAAATTGATAAGATTTCGAGTCTATGTCGACTCGATAAATCCGAGGGGCGATTGATAACAACGAGGACCGTGCTGATTGCAAGTTCCGATGATTATATATATGGTCGACGAAATCTTATTCCTCGCTCAGAAGAGCCTCCCAAGAATTTTGCATTTCCGCTTACTGCTTTTTTTTCAGCGTAGATAGAAGAAATTGCGCATTCGTCGGGGACCACCTTCGCGTTTCGGAATGAATGGCAAAATTGCAGCGAGCAGTAATCTCGAGGAGCGCGGAAATGACGGCCGAGACGCGAAATGACGGCCAATTCGTCCTCGTTACTCCTACAGCCGCGTGACCGACGCGTGGGTCTGTAAAACGGTGCAAGGTTTTTTAGGGCTGCGGCAGACAAGCCGTAACCTTTTAACCCTTTATTTTCAAGCTATTTATAAGTTGTGTCGCGCGGGCGCAATGGTAGCGGGTACGGAGGCCGAGAGGTAGAGCTTGTTTCTAGGCGACGCGACGTCTAGTTTCTTGCTTTTCTAGGATTTTGCAGCCGCTCCGCGCACCTCTCGCACACCAGACCAAGTCGACTCCGTCCTACTTACCATATACATACTGAAGGTAAACAAAAAAACTCCAGATCAAGTTGTGCAACAGACGGATGAAGAAGTAAAATGCGAACGACCTCGGTAAAATGCACGATGAATTTATTGTCTCTGTATTGCTTTTTGATCGGCCTGTAGAGTCGCCGGTAGAGGAGAAGAAGACAAAAGAAAGGTCGAAGGGCGGGCTATTTGTGTACAACTCACATAAATCATTTTCATTCTGTTGTTCCCTGGTGCTAATTGACGAATCAACGCTTTTCAGGACGATAAATTTGTACAGCGTAATAGGACGTGCATAAAAGTCCGTGAAATCGGAGTTGAAAACTCCTCTTCTATTCTCCTGCTCTCGTACGAGTTTGAAAACAATCCAAGTTCCAAGGTACTAAAAGTTCTTAAACTTTCTAAAAAGATGAGGATTCTGAAGAACGGTAGTCACAGCAAAGTTTTCCGAAATCCCGAAAAACGTACACACACATACGTCCCTAGAAATAAAAGTTCTCGCTCCAACAGAATTTCAAATTTTAGACGAGGAATTTGTTTGCGGTTTGAAAATTTGATTGTTGAAATTGACTCGATCCATGAGAGAAAAAGCCTTGCTTGCACTTTGATATAACACGTCTTAAATGACAGCGACATGAATCACGCGCTTTTCGAGCGTCTGTTTCGCTTATAATTCATATCGTCAATTCTCTTATCTTTTATATCGTGCGCACAACAACGTCGTGCTTTATCTACGAGACTTATTATTATTCTTTTTTTTGTTGATAAATTTTTGTCGATAAACTGAACACTCGTTCGTTTTACATTCCTCGAATGCTTATTTCTACGGTATCATATTTTTCACACAACGCGATAGTCTATCAGCTACATGACACTTTGACGCGATGATTTTTTTTTCTCAGTCCTTCTGCACGAGTGTACGGTCAGTCAGACACCTGTTTATCAAGTACACAAATACCTTGACATGCCTTCTCATGCCTTCTCCGATACGCGTGTTAACTTCGGGCAAATGTTAAGGCATTTGCGTCCCTACATTTATGTATGATGGAATGAAAACGTTAATACTTTACATTCACGGGCTTTTTAATTTTTATCAAGCATCTGCACGTGTTTGCGCTTTCCCCGTTTAATCCGTTGAAAATAAAGATCTATTTTTTTTGTAGGGTTGACTAGAAACACCTACGCGCGCGAAAAAAAAGAAAAACAAGAGTTGGTGTGCTCGTACTCGCGAGTTGGACACACGGAGAGAGTATATCTGGACATCGGCCAACGTCCCCTTGCTCTCGGACATGTTGACCGCGTGTCCCCGGTCTATATTCGACGGCATATTATCTACTCGATATCTCTCTTCTTCTTTTTCTCTCTCGTTCCGCATCTTTTTTTTCGCGTCTCGTTTTCTCTCTCTCTCTCTTTCTCTCTCTCTTGTCCCTCCCTCCCC